TGTGTGTGTGTGTGTGTGTGTGTGTGTGTGTGTGTGTGTGTGTGTGTGTGTGTGTGGTGTCTCCCCAGGAAGTGACATGACAGTATCACAGATCTTGCTGACACAACATGGAATCCCAGTGATGAACCTGTCTGATGGGAAGGCATATTGCTTCAATCCATCACTTTCTACATGGTAAGCAGGCCCTGACCTTGCTCTCCCTTATTCTACCCCAACCCCCTTGTCCTTCTGAGTTGTTGAAGTCAGCTGTGCTTATCACCACTATACTACCATGCAACACTCCTCAGTTGGAACGCAGAGCAGCAAAGGCTCTCCATCTTTATGGTCAAGGCTGCCAAGCTTTTTCCCTAGCGTGGAAGCTATAATAACAGCCCAGTCTAAGGAGACGAAACTCAAACTCACTAGTATAAGCTTCCTTGTCCTTGTGGCAGGCTGCCAGCCCACAGGCTCTCTGACCTCAGAGCCCAATGCTCAGGGCTTCTTTCTTTCTGTATCATTTTCTGAGGTCACTTTCTTTGGAATAATAAGTTGACTTCATAGTAACCTTGCCAGCACTTTCAATTTTTGTAGTTTAAGAGGAGCCAAATAGCACTTTAAAAAAAAAAAAAAGATTTATTTGTTTATACATACAGGAGCTGGGATATAGGCTGGGGGTTGGGGGAGATGAGAAGATTCACCAGAGACAGAGTGGGGAGCAGAACAGGTAGATATACTGCTGAGGGGAGCAGTAGATGAGACAGGAGAGATCTGTACTGTGTGGGTCACCTCCCTGGTCAGGGATTGAACTTGTGCTGCAGTGGCTGCCAGTAGCTTCACAGTGCTGAGACTTGACCCCTTGCACCACCAGGCAGGTTCCCAGATAGCACTTATTACTAACATCCTGAATTAGCTCAGGATGCACCATCACTTACTCCTTGTAATGGTTTGTACCTTTCCTCTGCTTATTTTCAAATTTGTATTCCAAATTTGTAAAAGTTCTTAATAAGTAAACATATGTTATATATAAGTGGTGTGCCAGCCACTCTGAAAATGAAGAATTCTTTTTCTGTCTATATATGTGATACTTCATACCCCACGTACCTTTCTTGTTAACAGTTGCCTGGCTCATGTTTATCCTCATACTGATATCTCTTTCCTAAATTAAAGAAAGCAAGATAATCTCTCAAATAACTCCCTGCTCCTCCAAATTGTCCAATGTTGCATGCTATGTATGTCTCTGGCAATAACAGAAATAAGCCAATTATTATTTTTTTAAGATTTATTATTATTTTTAAAGATTTATTTATTTTTTTTTTTAAAGATTTATTTATTTATTCATACAGAACTGGGGTACAGGCCAGAGGCTCAGGGGCGGTGAGAGGCTTCACCAGAGACAGAGTGGGGAGCAGAACAGGCAGATCTACGAAGTACACTGCTGAGGGAAGCAGCGGGCGGGCCAGGAGAGGTCTGGCTCGCCATGTGGTCTCCTCCGGGGCAGGCGGCAGGCGGGAATCGAACTCATGCGGAAGCGGCCTCAGATTCTCAGTGCTGTGCTTTAACCCGCTGCGCCACCAGGGAGGGCCTAAAGATTTATTTTTTTATACATACAGAACTGGGGTACAGGCCAGAGGTGCAGGAGCAGTGAGAGGACTCATCAGAGACGGAGTGGGGAGTAGAACAGGCAGATTGACAAAGTACACTGCTGACGGGGACAGGCAAGACTGAAGAGGTCTGCTGCACCATGGGGCCAGGAATCGCACTTGCACTGAAGTGGCTGCAGCTAGCTTGCAGTGTTGTGTTTTAACCCACTGAGCCAGCAGGGAGGGCCATAAGCCAGTTTTCTAAGAAGTATATATGACTCTTCTTGAGTATATTTGCAAAGCACTGAGCTTTTTTAGAGCGTGTGAAACATGTTTACTTAAGATAGGAGTAGTTCAGGAAAGGTGAAGATCTGCCTGCCTGGTTCTAAAAGCAAAGAAAGGCTAGGACCATGGCACCTTCTGAGGAACCAGACCATGTGGCCCCTAGGGCAGATGGACATCCTGGGCATACCTCACAGATAGGTGACCTGTCCTCATGAGCGAAGGCTGTGAGGCTGCAGTGTTCACAGGAGAACCCTGTCAATAACTTCACTGTCATTGATGTTTCCTTATCATGAAACCTACCTATAAGGAACCCAGTGCTGACAACACAGAGACACCAACCTCACTGGTGTTCTGGTAGTAATCAGATTGCTCTTGCTTCTCATTGGCCTCATCACCAACCTCTTAGGGTGTACCTCATAGTTTTTCTGAGCTCTTTTCCTGTCTTTACCTCCTTAGGAACCTGGTTTCTGACAAGCAGGATTCCCTGGCCCAGTGTGCGGACTTCAGAAGCAGCCTGCCTACCCAGGATGCCATGCTGTGCTCGGGACCCTTAGCCATAGTCCAGGGCCACGCCTCCACGTAGGTGACCTGAGTTCAGGAACAGTGGCTGGGTTTTGCAGGCCCACTCCCACCCAGGCTTGCTCTCTGATTATCTGTTTCCTGTACCCAGCTGCTTCTCTGCACAGGCAGGCTGGGTTACCAAGACTTGTGGGCCCATGTCAGGTAATATCCTGGGGGTCCAGAATGTTAGAGACAGTGTTACTTCATGGCCCAGATGCCACTCTAAGGGGTTAGGGGTCATGGATCACCCATTGTAGAGCAGCATTTTATTTAGGTGGGGGGGAATGAGCCACTAGCCTTTCATCTTCAAGGGTCTATCTGAGAGGTGCAGGGTGAGATATAGCTGGGGAGCTAGAGCATCCAGGGAGGCTGTGGCTCCCTAGCATTTGGGGAAGGATGAGCTAACATGGATTCTAATGCCCCACCACTATCACCATACCACTGACTTCTCACTGGTGCTCTGGGACATAAAATGGCAGCCACCTGTCTCCAGCCCCTGCCCTGCCTCCCTCCAGGGTACTTACTGCCTTATCATGTGTGCTCTACTGGTCTTTGCAGTTCAGGAAGGCAGGCGGCCCGTCTCTTCTCCGTGCCTCATGTGGTGCAGCAGGAGACCACCCTAGCCTACCTTGAGAATCAGGTTGCCGCAGCGCTTACCCTGCAGTCCAGCCACGAGTACCGCCATTGGCTCCTCCTCTATGCACGGTACCTAGTGAACGAAGGTGAGCTCCCTAGTGGCCCCTCGGTCCTCCTGGACTTTACACAGTCCCCATCCTAACATGACCCTACTCAAATCTCTCAAATCAAGGCTGAGATATTATGGCCCACGGCTCTTTATATACTCTCCTTCCTCCTGGTCTCCCACGGTCACTCTTGAGGGCCTTAGCTTCTTGCTCTCCCATCAGTGAAATGGGTCCTCACCCCATGTCTCCCAGCATGAGTTGTAACCTTGGCAGTTCAGTGGGCATCCTACTCATTCAAACACTGAGGCCCTAAACGGAGTAGGACCTGCAGCCAGGAGGATTGGCAGAGGGAGGGGTGAGGGCAGAGAATGTATGTGACTCCATCACACCCTTGGAGTGTTAGTGGTCAGCAAGCCTGTCACCCCAGGGGAGAGCATCTTCTGGCAGCATCTGGTGGGCCTGCATTCCTCTTTCTCTTCTGAGCCCTTCCTGTCCAAGAAGGGCCAGCCTCCTGTTGAGCACCTCCCCATGACCCCTCAGCCCAGGTTTTCCAAGCTTGGCCTCTTGGAGAACATCTGTGGTCCAATCCCCTTTCAGCCACTACCTTCCCTGTTGGTCAGCAGAAAGCAAGGTCTGTCAGAAGAAGTAACAGTCCTGGTTTTGGAGTGACCTCCAGCAACCTCTCATCCCTCTGCTAGGCAAATGAGGGGGCACCTTAGCAGCCTTCTTCCCACCTGTGCTTGGCCTTAGGGCTATGTCTTAGGAAATGACCCTCCCCAAATTTTCCTTGTGTCACTACACATCCCAAGACCTGATTACAGAGCAGCCTGTCCTGAACTTCATGTTTCCTTTTGCTATCACCCTCCACATTTTGATTATGATTTAGAGAAATAAATATAAGTACAGAAAAGACTAAAACATGTCAAGCCCCTATAACTGTAACTCCCAGAATTCACATGCCATGTTGTTTCTGCTGCTGTAGCTATGTATGTCTATACCATTGGTGACAACAAACATGACTGACCAACATAAAGCCCCTTTTTTTCCCAGTGGACATCAGTCATGAATGTGATGTTCACTTTTCCCACCCAGTCTATGTAACTATCCAGTACTGACTTGCCATTCCTATACTATAGTCACATCCTGGACCTTGCATCCTGTTTTCTCTCTTCTGGCTCTTCTGGTTTGCTTATTCCTTGTTATTGATAAGGACACGCCCTGACACCCTTTATAAAGCTGGAGCTCTCGTGTATGGGATAACTTCTATCTACCTCTTTCTTCTTTTCTGCCATCTTCTACACATCTGTCCCACTGTGCATACACAGGTTGTCTCTTCTATCTTTTGCTTACTTAACCAGGAAAGGAAGACTTAGTTTTAAAAGGGAAATCCCATTCACTTCTAAAATTCCTCGAATTCCAACTTCTTTCTCCTTATTCTCCACCCATGTCTTTGGGTCATTTATCTATTCCTTATGTTTCAGCTGATAGGCCACCCCCAAATTCCACATTCAGTCTTTCTGGCACTCCATCTGGCTGTGCCTATAACTCTGGATTAATGGACTTGTTTCACCACCTCCATTAATCGCTCCCTTCTCATTCTAATTGGGACCTTTGCTATGTCCTGCTTCCTAAGTACTGACCTCCTAAGCTTGCTAATCTCCTCTCACACCAGCTGCCAGAACATCCTAAAATCTGACTAGTCTGCTCTCCTCTCTTCGCAGTTTCGCACATTTCCCATCACCTTGGGAAGTTTATCCAAGGTCTAGCTACATCTCAGTTTTCAGCACTGTAGGTGTTTATGTTTCAAGGGATGGGCAAGTGAGAATCTGTCATTATGGGTCTCAGTGCCCCAAACTAAAAGACCCAAAAGGAGTTTTTCCCATATAAGCAATGAAGCCAGCATTTGTTCATTCTGCTTTGATATACACAATAGCGTATTCTTGATTTTTTATTTCTTTTTGTAATGTGTTCCTATTTCTGTTTTGTTTTGTTTTTGTTTTTTTTGTTTTTTTTTCTGTAATTAGGGTTTGAATACCGACTCCGAGAAATATGCAAGGACTTACTGGGTCCGGTTCACTACTCCACTGGAAGCCAGTGGGAGTCAACGGTAGTGGTAGGTGCTTCTTTCATTCTTGCTGCAAGAATTTGCTCTTGAAAAGTGAAAATGGAGACTTTCTAAATAAGCCAAAGTACTTTGAAATTCTTCCCCATTCGAGTTGGGTCCAAGCATCAGTAAAAGAGCAAGATACTAGCACTCCATGCTAGCACCTGGCAGAAGGGGTCCCTCAGCATTGGACCTTGGGAGTGCTCAGCCACTCTATCTTTGGGAGCCTGCCCAAAGCTTCCTGCAAAGGATGGTGGGCTATTCAGTCCTAAAGGCAAAAAATCCTTCTCTGCTTTTGTGGAGGGCAGAAAAGTTTGATAGGGAACAAATAATCAGTAGAGTCCACAAGACCATTTTACTGAGGATTATGCTTAGAAGAAGTAAAAGCCTTTGCTTTTACTGGAAAGATTGGCCAGGGAAGACCTTAGAAGAGGACATGGATATGAAACCCAAGGATAAGAATAAACCAACTCTGCAGAGACCTAGAGATTCCTGGTAGAACAGGGTAAATGCAAAGAGGATTCAGTATATTGAGAGTATTGTGGCTGGAACTTAGCAGACAAAAGAGAAGACTGTGTGAGGTGACATGAGAACTAGCAGAAAGTGGATCTTGGGGGCTTGTAAGGAGCTGAAATCTAAGGCAAAATGGTCTGTGAGGAATTTGTACAGAGGTGATAGAAACTGACAGAAAACCAGAAATGGCTTGTTTTTTGTAGCCATTCCTGCAGTCGATAAAAGTAACATGGATCAGTGTGATGGACATTGAAAGGAGACTGATTCATTGTGTATGTTGGAAGCAGAATCAACAAGACTTAGAAGGAGTGTGGCTGGGTATGTAGGCGAGGGGAAGAGTGATTGATAGTGTCACCTCCAGATTTTTTTGGCTTAAGTAAGTGAATACTGTTGTATTGATTGACTTGGGAAAGGAACAGATTGGTGAGGGATGGGAGAATTGATGGATCCAAAAGTTAGCCCCATAACTTCATTTGCTCACTGAGCAGATACTGATAGAGTGCCTGCTTCGGCCAGGCTAGTCTTAAGTATGGGGCAAGCAGTAGTGAATAAGAACAACTGAGGCTCTGCCTTCATGGAGCTACGTTCTTGTGAGACAGGCAAAATATAAATAATAAACTAATCTGTGAGTGAGGGTGGAGGTTATGGGAACAAAAAAAGAGAGGTTGGGGGATACAGAGTTACAGATATGATGCTATTTTATATAAGGTGAACAGGAAAGGCCTAACTAATTGAGAGCAGAGATGAGAAATTTGAGGGATACAGATACCTGAAGGAAGAATATCCAAGCAGAAAGAACAGCAAGTACAAAGACCTGAGGTCAGAAACTTGCATTGTAATGGGAATAACTAAGCAGAGTGGCAATGGAGGATGAAAGGAGTTGAGATTAGAAAGATTAGAGGGCCAATCCCCACATGGGTCTGAGGGTATAGTGTGTACTTCTTTATTTTCTATTCCATTTTTATTTTGTTGCAGTAGATCTTAATTTGGTTGACTAATGGAGTCATAGGGTTAAAGTCAGTTCCCTGGGAACACAAAACTGGTACAAGAACTGGTTTACTTCTAGCTCACCTTTGTTCTATGGTACATCCCCATGGGATGCCAACATAAAGAAAGGATCATTTACCAGGGACCCCCACTTTTCATAGGAGCTAGGCCCCTACTTTGATTCCTCCTAGGTCTTCAAGTCTGTCCGAAATTCAGTTATTCTCTTCATCAGTAAATGCTCCCTAGATATGCCCCTCTATTGGATCCTGCCTTCCCTACACCAGTGCCTGATCACGTGGCACTAGCAGGTCAGCTCTAGGTCTGCTTATGTTTGTCCAGCACAGAGCAGGAAGGGTTGTTCTGAATTATCTGGTATGTTACTGGAATGAAAAGTTGATAGCTTTCATTTACAAATATAAGCTACAATAATAAGCAGAATTTTTTTTTTTAAGGTTAACCTTTGTTCCCTGAATTACTTGTCATTTCTAGTTTCACTTTCATTTCTGATTCATTTATTATGGTCATTGTTCTTGAATATTTTCTCCTATTCATCTGTTACCTGACTCAGGTTTGCTTTGCAAGAGTAGAGCTGCTTCCCAAGCAGCTGGGGATCTGCTTCAGTGGAAAACAGACATGTATCTAACTGGTCCCTCCCTCTGACCAAGTTGTGGGGCTTCACTCTGACCCACATGCCTCTCTGGTGGGAGCATTTGCCTGAGGTGTCAACTAAAGCTTCACAGTAGTTCTGTCTCAGTCTGAAAGTAAGCACTGAAAGCCATTGTGGTGCAAAGGAAAGGAGTCACAGATAGACCACTGGTCAACAGCCACACCTCTCCCCACATCTTCCTCTCCCCACTTTCTGTTTGTCTCTAAGAAGTACACTTCATTAGGATTTTGTCCTGGAAAGCCTGTGACTTCCTTCCCAAGTCGCCCGTCAGTATGTCCCTACCTACTTTCCACCTTCTGTAAACAGCTTAAAATAGCTGGTCTGCTTGTGGTCCCTGTTGTCTATGACAGATTCTTTCAACTGCAGATAAATGATAACCCGTTTAATAGTAGCTGAAACAGCTCTTCTCCAAAATAAGGAGTTTGGAGTTAGGTGGCAGTTTATGTATCTCTCTGATTTTCCTGGCCCTTATGGTCACAAGGTGGCTTTTATATCTAAATTCAAAGGTGGCCAGGAATAAGCTAAAGAAGCTAACCCTTTGCCACTTCTACTTAAGAGAGTGTGCTAGGGCTCTCCCTGGTGGCCCAAGGGGTTGATGCACAGCACCTTGAGGCTGTCCTCAGCCAATGCAGCACGAGTTCCTTCCTCAGCTGGGATGTGACCCACATGGCATGGTGGACCTCTCCTGTCCCACCCGCTCCTCCCCTCAGCAGTGTATTTCAGTTTTATTCTATTTTGTTCCCCCCTTTGTTTCTGGTGGGTCCTCTCACTCCCCTCACCTCTGGCCTGTACCATTTCTTGTGCACATAATTTACCAAAAAAGTATACTAGAAATCTTAGACAGAGCAGTAAGAAAACAATGGAAATAAAAAGTAAACTTAACTGAAGACAGTGTCATCTCATATGTAGAAAACCTTAAAGATTTCACAAAAGATCTGGAGAATAAAGGCATTCGGTAGATTTGCAGAATACAAAACCGTGTTCAATTTCAATCTATGTGTGTCCTTAGGTCTAAAGTAAGCTTCTTGTAGGCAGCATGTAGTTGGATCCTATGTACATATATATTTTTTTTGATTGGGGAATCAGATATAAATAACTCATTTATATTTAAAATAATTACTGATAAGTAAAATTAATGTTGCTATTCTGTTTTTTCTTTAGTTTATATTTTTATATTTTATCAAATATGAATTACTCATTTATATTTAAAGTAATAACAGATAAGTAGAATTAGTGTTGCTATTTTGTTTTTTTCTTTATTTTATCCCTCATTTATTCCTTTATTGTCCTTTTTTTAAATTTGTTTTGTTGCAATAACTGGTTTATAGCATTGTGTAAATTTCAGGTGTGCAACCTTTTATCTGGATATATGTGTATACAATACAACATTATAATCACCATCAAAAGCCTACTTTTCAGTCCATGCAGTTTACTACCCTTCACCCATTCTGTATATTCCTATCACCGTTCCCCTCTGGTAATCAATACCGTGCTGTCAGATCTAAGACTTTGTTTTTGTTTGTTTTGTCTTCTGCATATGTAAAATCATACAGTATTTGCCTTTATTCATTCTGACTTATTTCACTTAATGTAATCCCCTCACAGTCCATAATTTCATCTTTTTTTTATCACTAATTAGTATTCCACTGTATGTATAAACTATATCTTATTTATCCATCCGTAGATGAGCTCTTAAGTTGTTTCCATATCTTGGCTACTGTACAGTGATATTTTTATTTTGATTCCTACCTCACTTTTAGATATATATTCTATATATATATATAAAATCCTGACGATTACCAAAAACTTGTTTAAAGTTAACTATCTATGTTAAACCACTAATAGTTTAATTTTAATTGCACACAGAACACCATATTCCTTTATAGCTCCACCCACCCCCATTTTGTTGTCAGTGTCAAAAAGTTTTATATATTGTGTAACATTTAACAGATTTAGAAGTTCCATGCTTTTGCTATTTAAATCCCATTAATGAATTAAAAAAAGCAGTATCACCAAACAAAATTGGTTAATATGGATTTGTATACTTGTCTATGTATTTCCCTTTACTAGAGAACTTTATATGTTATTGTCTAGTGTCCTTCCATTTCAACTTGAACTTATTAGCATTTCTTGTAAGACATCTAGTGGTCATGAACTCAGTCAGTTTTGATCAGGGAATATCTTGCTTTCTTCCTTGTTTTTTGAAGAATGTAGTTTTGCCAGATATAGTACCCTTAGTTGCCATTTTCTTTAAAATATGTCATCTCATTTGCCTTCTGCCCCTTAATGTCTCTGCTGAGAAATTTACATATAATCTTATTGAAGATCACTTTTACACAACAAACCACTTTTCCACTTGGTTGTGTTATATATATATCTCCTTTTTCACATATCACTGTCCTCATTTCTATTTAGTTGTCTGTGTTATCTTTGGGCATATTTTAAAAGGCTTCTTTAAACTCTGTCACATAAGTTCTAAGCTGTTTTTCTGCTTTCTTTTGTTCCTTTGAATAAGTCATATTTCCCTATTTGATTCTATGTCTGTGATTTTTTGTTGAAATTGGAGCATTTGAAAAAATAATCACATTTCCTAGTCTTTGCAGACCAGCTTCACTAATCAGCCCATGATAAAGGCTTAGGATCCTCTCAGATCTTTCTGAAGGATTCATCTTCCCCAGTCCTTTGCATGTGTGTTTTTTGTTTTTCCATTTTCCTCAATACACATAACTGCTTTTAAATGTCTTATTTGACCTAGTAGTCTCAGTCCTGCTTCTGTTCATAAGCTTGGACATATTTTACCCATAATCTCATGCACCCCAGGTGAGACTTGCTTCATCTATAGCTCTCATGCCCCACAGTGCCTGCACTGCCTTTAGCAACTTCCATCCGATAACCAAACTATTTCACTGTTCCCATTAGCATTCTGACTTAGGCAAGACAACCCAGTTCCTTTAGCAGCTGTCCAACAAACTGGACAATTGCAAGCAAATTCAATAATGAAAATGCACTACACCAGTAGGCAGTGGGACAAAAACAAGCACATGGTTGGAAAATTATCTATTGTTTTGAGTTTGGTCTTTTCTTGATTAGGTGTCCACTCAGTTCCTTAACTGATGTCTAGAGTTCCTGCGTAGACACTTTGGTCTATATATCATTTACTTGAGTTTCTGTTGGGGAATGTGGGCCTAGAGCTTGCTAGTACAACATTTTGCTCCCAGATATCCTTCAGCCTTTTTCTTTTAACTTATTTATGTTATAATATATAAGGTGGATTTCCTGTAGACAACAAATAGTTAATGGCCATTGGATAATTTAGACTGACATTGATCATTGATATGTTTAGTTGTATATTTACCATCTTGACTTTTGAATTAATTTAGTTTTTTGTTACTCCAGTTTATCTTTGTTGGTGTATTAGTCAAATCCTTTTTGTTTGGGCCTTGTATATAAGGAACACTTGGTTTTTGTTTATGACAGCCTTCCTTCAAGTGATATGCTACCACTTTAAGTATCTTTTAATGGTATGTTTTCCATATCCCTTCCTAGTTTTTGTGGTATTATTGTCCTACCTTTTACTTATGTATGCTATAAACTACAGGCTATGTTTACACTATTTTTCTTTTAAAAAAGCATAACTTTTTAACATTTAAGTTCTGAACCCTTTGGGGAAATGTTTTGGGTTAAGGATCCAGTTTTACTCTATTCCATGTGGATAACTATTGGGTTGTGGGAAAAATCATGACACATTTGTACTTTAAAAACAAAAAATACATTATGACCTTTCTGGCAGCCCAATATGTTCTCAAATTCAATGTGTTGAATAATCCCCTCTTGATCCCACCATGTCTGTCTTGCCTCCTCTCCTAGCAAAGTTTGGCACAATAAGCCTGCTTATCTGACAGGATAGTGAATGTCTGTGTTTTTTACTTTTACTCCATATACATCTTAGAATGGTCAGATTCCACTAAAAACCCTGTCAGGCATTTGCTTGGAGATACTTTTAGGGGGGGAAAAATTGTCTTCATTCAGATTATTATTAAAGTCTTTAATGTTTCATAGTTTTCAGTACATATACCATGCACATCTTTTGTTAGATTTACTCAGATATCTTAAATGTCCTCTAATATTTAACTCTCACTTTTCTTGATAATAGTTATCTTTTTTATTCATTGTTAGAATTGATTGCTAGTAATTCATAAAAGATTTATATTTCTGACTTCACAGGTAAAATTAGCCTGAGATCTTCCATTCTCATGCTGTGCTTTTCTAGCTTTAGGTTCAGAGTTATATTTGCTTCACAGACTGTGTTGAGTAGTTCCTCATTCTCCTGAGTTTTTAAAACTTTGGAAAATACTGTTTCTTGGAAGTTTTTTAAGACATTAATTAAAAATTCCAGTATACCCAATTGTGGTAAGATACAAATCCTGTTTTCTATTTCTTTTTAAGTCTTGATGAATTTTATTTTTCTAGGAATTAGTCCATTCTCTCTATCCTTCTTTGTTGTCAAAAAATTGCTCATACTACTCATTACTTTTTAATATCTTCTACAGCTATAATTTTATGCCTTCTTTATTTTTCATTGAGCTTCTCTCTCCTTTCTTGATTCATCTTGCTGGAGTTATTTCTTTAGACATTTAAAAAAGTGACTTAAGTTTTTTCTTCAGTGTTTTTACCTTCATTGATTTTTAACTCTTACCATCTTTCATTTTATTTTTCAATATTTTGCGTGATTCCTGTCCCCCATCCTCTAGACCTTATATTGGATTCTGGGCCAGAGTTGCAGGGTGTGAGGAGATTGACCAGAGACAAAGTGAGGGGCAGACAAGCAGATTTCCTGAAATAGCACTGCTAAGGGCAGCAGTGGGCTAGGCAGAGAGATCTGTTGTGCTATATGTATGGGTTAGTTTCTTGGCCGGTGATTGAACTCAGGCCATTGGGGTGAGAGCACTGAGACTTAACCACTAGGCCACCAAGGAAGTCCTCCAATAAAATTATTTTATGTCTTTAGTAAGTGTCCAATGTAAGCTCCACTTTTGCTGTATCCTGGTAGTTTTGCAGTATTAATTGTTTTTAATTTTAGCTAACTAAAACCAGTTAATTTGATCTATGAGTTTTTACTAAGTTATATTTTAGTGAAAGAATATAATCTGTGGCAGGGGTTTTCTGTAAAATCCTTTTTTGTAAAATGTAAAAACATTTTCTGTAAGAGACAAGAGAGTAAGCATTTCAGGCTTTGCAAACCCATACAATTTTTGTGGTCGTTAGCTGCTCTTGGCAGCATGACATAAACAAATTGGCATGACTGTTTGACTAAAAGCTGGATTTGGCCTATGCCAATGCAACCTATTATTTTGTTGATAGGCTTTTAGATCACTTTTTCATACATCCTTCCCTGCGAAAGAGGAATTGTGTTCTCTGATTTGGGTGGCTCGCTCTGCATATATGCATCAGGTCATATTTGCTAGTAAAATGTGTTTGTATTATTTTAATCTACAGCTACTTGCTTTCTGAATCATGAGTAATTGAATCTGAACTAAAATTTCCCTGTGAGGATGTTTTTTGTCTCTTTTGTATTACTCCCAATGATGTTATATCAGTGTACTTGTCTGATAATTATAAAATACTAGTTTTTTTTTTTTAATTATTTACAATACATCTTTTTCCATCTTTAACTTTCACCCTTTCTGTACCCATGTTTATGTGTTTCTTGCTGGCATCATAGATTTGGCTTTTGGTTGATTAAATCTGACAAGTTGTTTTTCATCACCAAATTACATTTACATTTTCTGCATCCTTGTGGGTTGTTTTTTTTTTTTTTTTTTTTTTTGAGAACAGCAAAACCTTTAGCAGTAGTCGATCACATTACTTTGCATACTTCTTCTAGTATCAGCTGGATTATCTCTTCTTTGAGCATTTCTTCCCAAAACATTTCCTAGGTAGACTTTTCCTATGGCAACCCAAAGAATACTTACATTTATACACTCTTTAATGAATAGCCTTTTGGCTGGATTTAGAAAGTAAAAGATGGTGAATTTTCCCCAATATATTAAAAGTATTACTATGATGTAAATCTTGATGTCTTTTCTTTTGTAGGTGATATGCTCTTGTTCTTTAGAAAGTTAAAAATTTTTTCTGTCTTTGAGATTCTCAAAATCTCCTCTTATTTAATTCCTGGTGTTGTTACCATGCTTGTCTTAACACCATGGCCCTTCTTTTCCAATGGTCAGTATTGACAGATGATGGTTTTTTCCCTTTGCAATTGCTATGCCCTTCAGGCGTCTATGCAGTGGAGACCCTACTTGGCAGTGCGTATTGCAGAAGCGCCCGTGCAGGTTGTGGTGCCCGTGCACCCAGATATAGAGGAGACATGGGCAAAAGTTAAGAACAGAGCATCAATGAAACAAAAGCTAGTTAATTGCCTAAGCGCTTCCTTATTGCTGAGCTTGAACTCCAGCCCCTGGAGAGTATCCATATGAAGGGCCAGACCTTGCAGGTAACCATCCACATAGTTACCCTGATTTCCTACTTCCACCTTACCCTGGAGTGACCAGTTTATTGCAGTCTAAGGCCAATGTTAACTATACCAACAGATTTAAGAGACACAGAGAAGCAGAAACTACCCCAGTTTTCTCTGCCATATCCTCATACTGTGTCACTCCCCTACACCCTGCCACTGTGCTACACCATGCCCCAGGAGTTTTCCTTTTAACCAACAATCAGGATTTCCCCATAAGTTACATGGACATTGGTAACTTGTAGGAAATTTAATCTCAGCTCTCCCAGGGCTTCCTGGCATGCAGAGAAATCGTGATTATCCATTTAGGCTTCTCAAACAAACAAGATTCTCTGCCAGGATAGGAAATTCCCCACAGTTAGGACTTCTCACTAACTGGCTCTCAACTGTCACTCCTGTGCCCACAGGGTCTGCGGAAGAGGGAGCTGCTGAAGGAACTGTTGCCAGTCATTGGGCAGAACCTCCGCTTCCAGCGCCTCTTCACCGAGTGTCAGGAACAGCTTGACATACTGAGGGACAAGTAGCCTGCCCCATCTTTTCCAGCTGCCTCAAGGACAGGGCCACACTTTTTGCTGATGACACGCAGAGCCATTTCATCTCTTCTGGCTGCCGTAGAAAGAGGAGATACTGGCAGGAGGTGGGCTGTCCTGCACCAGTGCTGGCCCAGCTCCCTGGTCAGTCTTCCCCTGTGTGCTGGGCCTTTTGTTCCCTGAGAAAGGAGCAGCTGTGCCCTCAACTCATCTCTCTCTCTCCAGGACCCCCATGCAGAACTGAAGCTAGGGCTCTGTTCTGCTGCCCTGGGTTCGTGAGTCACTCTTAGGCCTGCTGTCTTCAGCATAGTCCCATGGTGGACACTAGTCCCTGCCACATTGCAGGTGCCGTGCTGCTTCAGCTATGATGAATGAGCCATTTGTGAAAGAGAGAATCCTGAAACAATAGTGTATTATGCAGTCAGTAGACTGACTTGAAACCTATGTAAAAGGAAAGGCTATTCCAACACACGGACTATTTTTGTACTAGAATTTGCTAACTTGTAATATGGAATTTTCCTTTTGGCCAATAATCAGGATTTCCCTATAAGTCACTTGGACATTGGTCACTTGTAGGAAATTTAAACTCTAATTATGAGAACTACATTGCAAAATAATTGTACTGAAATTAACTTGTCTATCTTCATTTGGTTTTGATTTTTAAATGTTTGTAAAAAGAGACTGTTTTGGGGGGGATGGGACAGTGGGGTGGGCAACTTCTTTTATAAGTGTAAAATAAATGAACATGCATTGGATATCAAATCATCCTTGCTTTCCCTGCCTTTTCCTTCTAACTTCCACCTCCCCTTTCCCCCTAATCTATCATGGATCCCTCTTTTGAAATGGGTAATGTTACAATATCAGAGCTAATGCTCCCCTTCCCAACCCCTCCTTGCCTTTGCAAAAATTCATTTTCTAGCATGTGGATCACTTCCTGGTTGTACAACACCTCAGGCCAAACGAACTAGCAGGCAGTTTATGTAATGTGTCAGTTCCCAAGCCAGGTGTCGTCAAAATCCTTGATTTCAGCTACACTGTGGCACACGTCCCTGATTGTCTAGGTACCAGGTTTTGCAGCTGACTTGCTAATTTCTTAGAAGGAAATCAGCTAAGTACAAATGTTTTTCTGAAAATTTCTCTAGAAGCTGGGATTTTCTTTGAAAGTGATTCAGATGCTAACACAAGGGAGATAAGATATCTGGAATCACAGAAACTCCAAGCATAGTGAAAGTTGAATACCCCGACTACTGGATCCTGGAACTCATCTGCTTGTTACTTTTGTGTGTTCCTGAGTCTGGGATAGAGGTCTGGACTTGGAAATATTAGGCCTGGGTGACTAGCCACTGACATGTCTTCTGCCTGCTTCCCTGCCTAGTGGACCTCTCACTGCCTAGCTTACATGAATATCAAGTAACTGGCTGTTTGACAATGGTAATGCACATTGAACATTGATGCCTCAAAAACCAGGCTATAACTGTGAGCTATTTAATGAATGAGAGACCAGATATGTTCAGATCAAGGAGTTCCATGGCCACTTTGGCACTGAGAGCTTAGTAGAATTGCACGCAGTCTTTGGACTGCCTGGGGTCCATTACCAGCATGATCTGGGGATCATTTTTGCAGCTGTCAAATGGAGATAAGTGTAGAAAACCTGCCAGGTTTTAAAGAGTAACTGGTATCATGGAAGCTGGTATCATGGAAGCAAAGCACTTAGTAAATGTTCCCTTAAAGAAACGACAATCTTGAGTGTCTTTACTGCTATAATTTGGGGAGAAAAGGAAGACTGGCTGGGTTATTCTACTTCCAGTCAAAATAGAGTAAGGGACTAAATTGATTCTCCTACCTGAAACAACCAAAGGGACCATCAAATGAATGATAGTTTCAAGACATGGGTTATCAGAAGACAAATGACAGGTTATTAGAAGACAGATTCCTGAGCGATGGGAAACATGAGTCCTACAGTTGTCTCAACTTAACTACTGAAAAAGAGTTTGCACTGCAGCAAAAAAGTAAAGTCTGGCATCCAAAAATTAACCAGGCGTATGAAGAAGCAGGAATGTGATCCAAGATGATAAAAACAATCAGTCTGACTGATGAGTCAAATCTAAACCAAAAACTTACACAGATGTAAGAATTAGCAGAAGACATTAAAACAATTACAGTAATATTATTCCTTCTATTCAAAAAGTGGAAACATAGAAGACCATAACAAGAAAACCACAGTCTTAACTTCTAGGGATGAAAACTAACACACATCCAGATGGAAAATACATGGGGTGGGATTGTAGAAGACGAGAAATTACAGAAAAAAAGATTAGTGAACTTGAAGCCATGGTAATAAAAGTACTCCAAAACGGGGAGGTGGGGGGGAGCCCAAAGAAAACAGTATCATTAAACACTGAGACAATTTCAAATATCCAAAGATACAAGTAACTGATGTTCTCTAGAAAAGAGAAGGGGATAAGAAAAATTTAATAGCCAGACAATAATTGCTCCATGCCTTTGCTTTATTCCTTGCCCTCTTGCAAATGAGCTCTAAGCCACTATCCTCTTCCCCTTCCCCCTATCCTTAATATGTATGTTTGGACTGCTGAGTCCACCAGTGCCCCACACTTAAACCCCTGTCCCTGTCTGATCATCTTACTTGCAAGTAGAACATTGGGTGCCTTTATCTTCCTGGACCTGCCTTGCTCTTTTTAAAGTTTTGACCCACTTTCAGCCTTTAGTTCACATTTGAGGTGTCAAAGTCCTTTACAAATTATCTTGGTGCAGTGGGAGCTTATGCATACACACACACACATGTATATTCTCCCACATTTGTGGCAAAACATTTTCCTCAGTTTATTCTCCAACTTTAAATTTTGTGTGTTGACTTAGTGTCTCAGTTTTTGTGAGGCTTAATTTCTTTAATTATTTTAAGCTTAAGGACACGTCATCAAAGATACATTAGATGCTCAATATCATTAGTCATTCAGAAAGCACCAAGTCACAATAATAAAACAAGTATATGATACTGGCTGATGTTTTCAGATGTATAGTATTAAATACTTATGAGGATGTTTAGAACTTTAATATATAGCTAGCAGGAAGGCAAAGTAGAACAGTTACTTTCATGAAAAGTTTGATAGTTCCTTGTAAATTAAACATAAAACATAGGACCCAGGTATTCTCTCCTTGGTTTTGGTTTTTAAAAATACAGAACATGGCCCTCTCTGGTGGCGCAGCGGGTTAAAGCACAGCACTAAGAAGCTTAAGCCACTTCCGCATGAGTTTGATCCCACCTGCCCCGAGGAGATCCACATGGCGTCGCAGACCCCTCCTGACCCGCCCACTGCTCCCCTCAGCAGTGTACTTCGTTGATCTGCCTGTTCTGCTCCCCACTCTGTCTCTGGTGAATCTTCTCACCCTCCGCATCTCTGGCCTGTACCCGGGTTCTATATAAATAAATAAATAAATAAATCTTTAAAAAAAAATACAGAACATTTTTCATCACCAGGTTTTCTTTTTTTAAAAAAATCTTTATAGTTGTCTATTTCTGTTTTGTGTTTTTCTGGAGAAAAGAAAGCAAACACTTAAAAAATGAACAATGATGTCATATATACACATAAGAAAACAAAAAACAATGGCATAAAAAATCTTTAGTGAAATGTAATTCACATAGCATGCAATTCATCTGTTTAAAGTGTATAATTAAATGGTTTCTAGTGTTAACATCACCAATTACTACAGACTACTTTCATGATCTCAAAAAGAAACTTCATATCCTTTACAATGCCCCACCCACTCATCTCCCTTATGTCTAAGCAGTTACAACTTCATCACTATAGATTTGCCCATTCTGGATATTTTATATAAGGGGAACTAGAGTATATGGTTTTTGGTGACTTAATGTTTTCATGTTTCAACAATATAGTATAATATCAGTACTCTAATCTGTTTATGGTCAAATAATGTTTAGAATAATACACACTTTGTTTATCTAGGCACCACTGGTGGCCATTTAGGTTTCCACCTTTTGATGACTGTGTATAGTGCTAATAACTTTTATACAAGCTTTTGTGTTTACATGTTTCCACTTCTCATGAATATATAAATAGGGGTCATATGGTGACTATAATTATTTGAACTGCCAGACTACCTTCCAGGTGGCTACATATCAACATATCAGCAGTGTATCAGGGTTCTGATTCTAATTCTTTTCTGATACTTTGACTATAGCAGTCTCTGGGTAAACTGGTATCTCACTGTATTTTGATTTTGCATTTCCTTAATAACTAAATATAATGAGCATTTCTTATGTGTTTATTGCCCTTTGAATATCTCATGTGGAAACATGTTAAGATCTTTTGCCATATTTTAAATTGGTTTATTCTTTGGATGAAGTTCATTTTCTATTTTGTCTTATTGCTTATGTTCTGGCCTCATACTTAAGAAACTGGCAAATCTAAAGTCTTTAGCAATCTTCACTGTTTACTTCTTTCTTGATTTAGGTTAGGTGTATGCTTCTGTTTTACAGTGTCTTAAGGTGAGAGTTTTCATAATTAAAGCTATAAATTTACCCCGTAGGCACTGTATTAAGAGCACCCTGTGAATTTGTTATATTTGTGTAAGAGTGTGCATTTGTATATACATTATATAGGTGTGTGTGTGCGCACATATATAATTTGCCTTTATTTTCACTTGCCTGAAATATTTCTTTTTAAGGACTTATTTATTTATGCATACAGAACTGGGGTACATACAGGCCAAAGTTGCAAGGGCAGGGAGAGGCTTCACCAGAGACAGAGTGGCAAGCAGGATAGGCAGATCAACGAAGTACACTGCCAAGGGGAGAACAGGCGAGACAGGAGAGGTCTGCTGGGCCACGTGAATCACCTCAGCGGCTGCAGCTAGCTTACAGTGCTGTGTCCTAACCCATTGCACCACAGGCAGAACCACCTGAAATATTTCTAACTTCCCTTTTTAAGCTCTTCTATAACCCATTGGTCACTTAGAGTGTATTGTTTAATGTCCATTTATTTGTGAATTGCCCAACTTTTTGTTACTGATGCAATTTCATGCCATTATGGCTAAAGATATATTTTGTATCTTTGTAGCCTTTAAATATATTAAGGCTTATTTTATGGTTTAACTGAGAAGATAGATCATACTTGAAAAGAATATAGATCCTCTATTCAAGTAAATGCATATTACTCTTTTATAGCCATATCACTTCCCTTTCATCTATCATCTCTTAACCCAAGTTAATCACCGATCTAGTCTCCATTTCTGTAATTTGTCATTTCAAGGATGTTATATAAATGAATTGAACACTAGGCAATCTGTTGGGATTGACTTTTTCACCGTAGATAGTTGTCTGGAAATTAAGTCAAGTGACTTTATGTATCAACTGTTGGAGACCACTAAGGCGTGAGGTGTTGGAATAGGAAGAGTGTCGGGATCATGACTGAAAGACTAAACATGGATCGAAAGACTGACCCATGTCCAGACCACAGTGTCCTTGTGTTAACAAAGCTATGCCTGAGAAACAGATAAGATTACAAAGGGAGTAGAATATATCTAATAATTCAGAGCCTTGGTGGTGAATGTGTCCCTGACTAGGCTAAATGCTAAGACAATGATTCATTGTCTAGTAACTAACAAGGATGGGAGGGGGCGGTTGGTATCAATAAAAATGAGTCAATTTGACATTTGTCTTGTCCCAACACCTCATGCCTTAGGGGTCTCCAACAGTTGGTGCATAAAGTTACTTAATTT